ATACAAACACTAAATATTAAGTAAAGCTTACCACAATACATTAGTGAAAACCGCATTCAAATCGGTTAAACCGTTTCTGAGATTAGCGCGCACAAACGCACAGACAAACAGACAAAAATTCTAAAAATCCTTGTTTTAGGTCGTATTGCGTAAATAAAGACCTCAATGTTATTTTTTCTCAAATATCTTCCATGTACAGACAGTGATCAGTTACCTTTTTATTATATGTATAGGTAGATAGATAGATGAGCTTTTAAGTGCGAATTGCTCAGGTTTTTCCCAGCCTACGCTTTAGGGCACAGTATTTCTTAACAATATAATTATTTGTAATAACTGTATGTGATTCATAAAATTGTGATTTAATGCCTCATTATTGTAGTACCATAATGGTTTTGTATTTAGAGGTACCTTTTAATGATATATGATAAAAGAGGTCGTGATTTCGATTCTCGTTTCATGTAAATAAAATTTTATTATTTTCGGATCATTTTGTGGCCAATGTTGTTATGGGTTTAGGAATAATAATAAAAATTTATGATTGGTGTTAATTACGCTTGAGGATTGAACCTGTTATTTACGGAATTTTAGATAAAGCCAGTTAAATATTTCGGTATTATGGCGCTTGTTATTCTTTTTACATATGGTAAATGTTTTATATTATTTGGCCTCTACCTGTGGGTTAGGGATATCCTACTAATATTATGAACGAAAAAGTTTGTAAGAATGTATGTATGGATGTATGTTTGTTACTCTTTCACGCAAAAACTACTGAATGGATTTTGATGAAACTTTACAATAATAATTAGCTTATACATCAGAATAACACATAGACTACTTTTTATCCCGGAAAAATGTATGGTTCCTGTGGGATAGGTTTGTTATTGTTTTCCTAGAGGCAAACCCGAGCGAAGCGAGTGCGAGCCTCTAGTATAACATAGATTCTTCTTATGGGGAACGAGGGGTTGTATTTTATAAATCTACTTAATATTATTATATATATTAACATCGTAGTTATATGTATTTGTACCTATATTTAATATGCTTGAAAATTTGTAATTAATTTAAGTAGGTACAACGACTAAAAACAATGTAAACTTCATAAATTTTCCTGAATGCTTTAAAACTGATTTTAATAAAAAATGAATTATAACCTCGTGTTACAGTACTTATTTATTTTTTAACAAATCCAAAAGAAGGGGTCTCAGGTCGGTCTTCTGTGTTTTGTTGTGTATTCGAGAATTTCAAGATAATTTTTCAATTAAGCATCGATTTTTAAATTTTTTCCTTTAATTGTTATATTTCACTTCAAAGACTAAGTAGGTTAAGTGACTTTGAAGACGATGTATCTTTTTTTTTATAAGCCGTAACTATTGTTGAACAATAAAGTAATTTCCAGATAATATTTAGACACGACTACTAAGAGTTTCAGTTGACAAATCATATTTAGTTTTACGAACAAGGAAAATAAGAGTAATACCAGAAATCGCGATCATAATATCCTTCTAATATATAATATATGGTAATTTTTGACTTATTGATTTATAGAAAAATAGAATGTAAAAATAAACTAAATGCTGGAATATTTAGAAAAGTAAAATAACATATTAAAAAGCAGACTACTATTTTCCTGATAAATTAGATTTTAAAATAAAAAAATATCAGATTTAGAGAATTTATTTATTTACCGATTTTTTTAAAAAGGAGGGTTATCATTTAAGGTGTATATTATGCAATATCTTTAACTATTGTGAGCCAAATGCTTTATTTAATAGATAGATTATCGATATATTTTATCAGAGACTTACCGTTTGACCCTCACAAGAAGCATCTATGTTACTTTGTACCATACTAAATTCGGTATCTGAGTAAGACTAATGCCCGATTTCAACAACGTCACCTAAGTTTAAGGGATCCCCTAACCATAGTTAGGGGGCTGTTAGAGGACAGTTTCTGTTTCACTGTCAGTTAGGGGTCACCTAAATGATAAAATGCCACCTAAATATAGGTACTAGAAATACGGACTCTGACGACAGTAAAACGAAATTTATTTGGGAGCTAGTTTAGGGGACTTTTAAGCTAGGGATCTCATACGTAGGTGGTAGCTTATGGGTTGTTGGTGAAATCGGGCATAAGCCTACTAAAATTTGATAAGTCAAGTTTCCTGTAGCTACGTCCTATAGCTCAAAAAGTATGGACATTAAAAAAAAAGTTTTAAACAAAAGTTGTAGAGAATAAACGGATCTTTTAAAATTGATAAATGCATTTTATTGATTAAAGCATATTTTAAGAGTTATCGGTCGAGACAGAAAAGCCGGTTAATTGAATGGGCCATAAATCGTAAACGGTAAGTTTTACAAAAAAAAATTACAGGAAACAATAGATGCGAAACTTTATTTTCGCATCTTTTGTTCCCTGAGTGCATAGTTTCCGAGATATGGGCGAAAACGTTTTTTCAAGATGGCGCTTGAAGCTCCACCGGAATCTATCAGGATTTTGTGATTTTATACTCAATAAGTAATCCTAAACCTTATAAAAACAAAAATTGGATCGGAGATTTAGTACAAAGTTAAATTATATTTTTACTGGCCTAAAAAGAAGAGATATCAGAGCATGCTTTGTGATTCCATATACTGGCGTTAAAATAATAACGTGTGGCTCTTACTTGAGTCTATTGAGATTTTAGTCGAATCACTATGAACATTAATTAGATCTATGAATTCGTTGAACCACATTAAACGTTTCTAGGAGTATAAAGTAGTTGACAGATATTCTTTATTAATTGGCGGCTTAGGCTTATAAGTAGATAGAGATAAGTTGTCCTCTGTCGACATTTTGTTACTTTATTTTGTACTAGCTTTGCTCGCGGCTCCGCCCGCGTTCAAATGACCAAAAACCAAATTCTTAGGTTTTACATATTAGTATACTCTTACAATGCAGTTTTTGTATTTTTTCTCAAAAATGAGATATATTCCCGCGGTAAAAAGTGTCCTATATGTTGACCCGGATAACCAGTTATTATTATACCAAATTTAATCAAAATCTGTCCAGTGGTTTTCTCGTGATGCGGTAACAGACAGACAGACAGGCAGACAGACAAAAATTCTAAATCGATAATAATGTCTATTTCAATAAGATTTTCCAAAAAAATTTAATGTACAGATTCGACTTAGTTACAATTTTATTATATGTATAGATAACATATATTTTATAGTAAATAAATAAATAAATAAAAATAAGATTCCTTTGTATTTTTCAAGTATATTAATTTAAATTTTCTAGCGAAATAAATGTCTTGAGTCAAAAGCAAATATATGTTTCATACAAACTATTAAAGGGGGGTGTTATTTTAAAATATTATATTTTATTATAAATATAAGTTAAATGAGGCAAATATCGTAATAATAATACCAACATAGTAATAAGAACCACTACCCAACAAGCATTGCGCCACAACTCACAAGAGATTAGTAGAATGTAGTGAACGGCGTGGTGAGTCATCACGTTATGATACACTTTCATAATAACCTATATCAATTAAAATCATTTTATATATAAAATATAAATTTAAAACACAAAGGTTTATATGTAAACTTCCTTCTATTTAATTATTGAAAATTTAATATTTACACCAGTAATAATCGGCAAAGAGAATTAACGTTTTATAACAAGCCCTAAAAACCTTGAAAGCTTTAGGTTTATTTATTTCAATTAAAAGTCATATATTCTTATGTAATTTCAGATATGAATAAGAGTGACTGAGGTTAAGAAAGTGACACATGTTGTATTACAAATGTATGTCATAGCTTAGAATGGTTGAAAATGACCATTTAATAATTATTTTTAAACTAGCAACTAGAAAAGCACCAACAGATCTATCCCACGGGAACCGTTCATTTTTCCGGGATAAAAAGTAACTTGTTATTAGACCGGCAACATAAGGTGTCAGCATGCCAAATTTTACTAAATTAGGTGCATAAGTTGTTGTGTACTAAGCTGTATAAGTTACTATAGGTTTTTAACTATCCCCCGGGAACTCTTTAATTTTCTGGGATGAAAAGATGGTGCCCGGGGATATAAGGTACCACCAAGCAAAATTTCATTCAAATCGGTCCAATAGATTCGGAGATTAGCTCGTACAAACAGACAAACAGACAGAGAGACAAAAGAATTGAAAAAAATCTGGATTTGTTCTATTTGTCTTCTTACATCCTCCTTACGCGGTTTTAGCATTTTTTTGCTATGTACAGACATTCGACCTCTACTCTTTTATTATAGTATAGATAGATAGATTATAAGCCATTTAATACATTAAAGTTTTATATTTTAAAATAAACACGATGTTTAGCGGTTTCAGTAAAGTGTACGTATTTGGAAATTTACATACGATAAAATACTAGCAACTCAGCTTTGCTTCACTCGGGTTCGTCCCTATCTACGTTTTAGATATAAACATGTAGTTATTAGCCAGCGTTAGACGTGTAATTTTTTTTTAGTAAATTTTCCAACGTTTTAATAGTTAGAAAAAAAATTATAATAAAAGTAAAATCAAATATTCGATTAAAAAGTAAAAACCAATTCTGTTTTATAACTAAACTTTAATTGTGCTTAATATACCATTAAATATATCATATATAAAAGTGAAAATATAAAAGAAATATAGAAAAACGATTAAAAAAGTTGTTTTTGCGCCACAGTAGCATTTCTTCGGAAAATTGAGAAAAAATCAATGCGAGTTGAAGCGTTTCGAAGTAACAAAGTAGGTCGGTTCGGTCGGGTGAGTTCGGGCGGCGTCGGGCGCTCTCGTGCCAGCTCGGCGGCCTGCGCACGCGCACACAACGCCGATCCCGCCACGGCAGCAGTCGCGTACATCGGAAAATTATCCTTTTTAATATAAACGGGATGCAATTTTCTACATAAATAGCGCGGACATGGACTGATTGTTTACATTTAATAACATTTACTTGAATAATAAATTGTTTTGTGAGAGAACTGTACCAGAAATGTTGTGGGAGAATAATCTTAACGAGGAAACCGAAGCGGTAAGTGTATTAGAAAAAAAATTACCTACTAACATTTAATTGATTTACTTCTTAATTACGTGATTTTATTTATATATACACAGTATTGCATGTGTGAGTGAAGGCGCTTGTGCGAGTTAACTTTCTAGTTTTCGCTCGCTCGCGCGTATTTGCATAAAACGTGAACGGTTTTTCATAATAAAAACACATGGCAAGTTTAAAGAGCTTTTGGTTAGTAAATATATTCCCTGAGCATCTCGGACGCTGTGACATTGTTAGTAATCGCTTTATTAGATGCAAATAAATGTGGATTTTGACATCGACGTGCGGTCTGTCACGAATACGTTCAACAAACTCTGTGTTTCCGAGAGCTTATGCATAATATATATTCTTTACCTGGATCTTGTAGAATATATAAATTTATCACGTGATTTGTACATACATTTTCATTTACTACAATACAAAACCAATTTATCTCTCGTATATATTAAAAATGAAAATAGTTATACTGAGTTAATAAATAACTCATTTCATTTATGGACCTAAAAATCTATGATGTAAGCCAACCATTATCGTAGAAGCAATTCGTTTGAAACAAACAAAAAGATAAGTTATCAAGAAAATAATTAATGAAAGGGATAGTTAAACTGCGGGTGCTTGTGAAGAAGAGGGATAGTGCGTATTGAAAGGTATTGGTTGGTTGTATAGATCACAATATGATCTAACATACTGAAGGATTAATAAACAAATAGATTAGCTAATTACTTTATTATTCTTGTCTATATATATATATATATATATATATATATATATATATATATATAATTATAATTAGTTATATACATTTCTTTGCATTTTAAATTGTTCTATTGAAAATATTTTAGATTTCAGAGTAGACTTCATAATTATTGAACTGCAAGAACAGTTTTTACTGGTTCTATTTTTTGTATTTAGGAGGTTTTCCGTTGCCTATTAATTATTATTATATTTTTTAGTTAATTACAAACATCCGTATTTATCTATATATATATCCAGAATCTGTACATTAAATATTTTTTGGACAATCGTATGTATTCATCTATATTAATGACTATGAAATAGTCACTCTTTTAGAGGCCGAATCTATAGTTTTTAGAATTTCGGTCTGTCTGTCTGTGTATCTGGGAACGCGTCACGAGAAAACCCATGGACAGATTTTGATGAAATTTGTTATGATGATAGTTGGTTATCCGGGTCAATATATGATACTTTTGAGAAATCTATACTAAACATAACTAGGGACGAACCCGAGCGAAGCAAGGGTGAATCGCTGGTATTTATATAATTTTACTATTACATTTGCATCACATTATAGTTATCATTATAGTTATTATTATTATCGTTAGATTTTATCGCAAGTAATTATGTATATATGTATAGACGTATATTGAGATATCATCATATAACATACAAAACGTGTAGGTAGATTTTGAATGGATAAATATTTCGCTTTATCTTTACCTACTAATCTATAATAATTGGTAAACTGTATAAAAAAGTTTAAATTGTACCAACTCAAGAGTCATTTGTAATACTTAATGAAGGCATTTATGATCTAATTCAACATGAGGAAAATTACCTATATAAATATAATATAAAGAACAATATTTCCAAATTGTTTTTATTTATTTCACTTACGCGCACGCTTATAATAGCTACCTACTAAACAAAAAAGAAGGCAGTGGTAGCCCAGTGGTGACACGCTCGCATGGGTAACCGAGTGAAGCGGGTTCAAATCCCGGGTCTCGCACCTCTGATATTTTCATGTGCGAATCATTTTCAACATGATTACCACTTGCCTTACGGTGAAGGAAAACATCATGAGGAAAACTGCATGTCTGAGAGAACCTAGCAAGTTTTCGAAAGACATGTGAAGTCTGCCAACCCGCACTTTTCCAGCGTGGTGGACTATGGCCTGATCCCCCTCATATTGAAGGGAGGCCCGTGCCCAGCAGTGGGACGTTAAGAAGGGCTGAATACATACATACAAACAAAAAAAAACCGGCCAAATGCGTGTCGGACTCGCGCACGAAGGGTTCCGACTTCCGTACCATTATCTATAAAAACGGCAAAAAAATCATATCTCTTGTATGGGAGCCCGACTTAAATATTTTTTTATTTTAAATTAATTATTTATTTTTAAAGTTAATATATAACTAAATATTCTGTGAATATTTCAAGCGTGTACCAGTTGCCGTTATGAATATCGAGCAAAAACGAGCAAAAAATCACTTTTGTTGTATGGGCGCCCCTTTAAATATTTATTTTATTCTGTTTTTAATATTTGTTATAGCGGCAACAGAAATACATCTTCTGTGAAAATTTCAACTGTCTAACTATCAGGGTTCATGAGATAGCCTGGTGACAGACGGGCAGACAGACAGACGGACGGACATCGGAGTCTTAGTAATATGGTCCCGTTTTAACCTTTGGGTACGGAACCCTAAAAAAAGTAAATCGGTCAACAAACACAGAAGAAAAAGATATTAAGCTGTTTTGTCTTCATCTATAAATAGGTCTATATATATATTATGGATCTCGCTTTTATTTTCTAAACAAAATAAACTTCCTAGCAGATTCTCAGATCTAGATCTAAATTTTTCTTGTAAGATTTAATAATACCTAATTAGTCTATAACGTATTGGTCTGAATGCGTGTTAAGACGGTGGCACGCGTTAACGCTTTCTCGAGTAATCGTTGAAGTCTACGTACATATATATTTATGTGTCACACTTTACCTGCAAACTGCTTTAAGATATGATTTATTCCATGACGTTCATTATGGAAAAATTGTCATGAAAAATTATAAAATAGTACTCGTAACATTACACTAATATTATCAATTTGAATGAGTGTGTGTTTATAATTTCTTAACGCAGTAACTGCTTAATCGATTTGAGTGAAATTTTAAATACTGACTGATTTCCCTCGTGTAGTTTCCATTCTACGTATATTGTAGAAGTAATCTGTTCCAGTAACAAGAAAATTGAATTAAATTCATTTGAATTGGAAATCCTGGGTCTGCTTATCAAATTTCATTTTTTGGGTCAAAGTTCACTTGTTGTGCAAAAGTTTTAAAAAGGAATCATGCTCATATAGAGATGAGTGCGAGTATGGTTTAAATGAAAATACACGTATGCAATTTTCATACCCTTTTAAAGTTCCAATGCCGGGCATGGGAGGCCCATTCAAAACGAGGGGATCACGCCATAGTCGACCACACAATAGCAAATTTTATATCTTTCGAAAACTTGCTAGGTTTTCTCAGACATGCAGATTTCCTCACGATGTGTGCCTTCACCATAGGGCAAGTCGTAATCATGTTGAAAATAATTCGCACATGAAAACATCGAGTGCTAGATCTGAGATTTGAACCCACTTTACTTGGATTCCCAAGCAAGCGCGTTACTACTGGACTGCCACTGCCTAAAACTCGTATAGGTGCATTTTACCCAAAATAAAAACTAATCAGACAATACTTGCAACCTAAAAGTTTACTATAGAAACGAAAGTATGCTAATGTGTAAAACTCAAATTATTATAATTTATCTAATTTACTTACATATATTTCACATTTTCATTTTTATTACTTATAAATTTAAACAGTATCATAGCGAATATAAATATAAAGTTCTAAGTTTTAGTGGTTAAATTTTATTGTTAAAAAATTAACATGTCAACGACCAACACGACAAAAAAGAAGTATTTTTAGTTCAGAAAAAACTATACATTAAGAGCTAGCGCACACTGTCCGAAAGACAAAAGAATCGTTATCGACTAAGTTGATAACTCATATAATTTAATCTATAAAATTATTAATAGAAGTTTGTAAACAACATATTTCTTTCTTTATAGTCGCTAGTGTGCGAACACTCTAATATTGGACTTAAGAACTCGGAAGCAGCGACTGAAGGCCAGAGCTGGTTGTTTTTTTTAAACGAGTACTAAACAAAAATAAACAAATATCAACTTTATTGGGCAAATTTAGGGTTGTTTTTCGAACGGATAATATTCTATTTTTAAGGCACGGCTTCACTGATTTAAGTGATACGCAGATATAGGATAATTTTTATTGTTTTTATACCATGTTATATGAATTAATATACGGTTAAAATGTCATGTTCGCTTAATATAGGGATTTAAGACAAATATTTTTGGAAAAATCATAAATTCGTGTAGCTTACATATGTATCTATATATTTAACTTATTTTAAATCATAATAAATTGACATAATCGCTAATAATATAATATGTGTTAAATTTATTATTCCTTTCTATGCTAGGTATATATGTTTGTATGTATGTACTTATGTATGTATGTACGTATAGACGTATGTATGAACATATATATATGTTTTGGTCTTTGCTTGAATTGGAATTATTTTTGTGGTAATAAGAAGTGTCCATTATTATTAGCTTAGTTTTATCTTTTTCATCATTGCGATTATTAAATAGCAATTGATGCGTTCACGGAACTGCAGAGAATAAATAGTTTATTTATATCGCATAAATGGTTTTGAGAAGGCCTCTTGTACACATTATGTATATTTCTTTATATTTATATTAGTACCAATATAAAAAATATATAATTTTCTTGTAGACGGATATTGTAGAGGTGAATTTAAAATGATAATAGTATATGTACTTGATTGTTTAATTTTAGACCCATATGCAATTCAAAAATACATAACTTATTCTTATACGAGTATAGCCTTTGCTTAGCTGGTTTTAAAATTTTTATTTTTATATAACGATTCCGGATATCTACTGTGTAAAATAAATATCTATACTAAATACTAATATTATAAAGAGGTAAAGTTTGTGAGTTTGTGACGTTGTAGGGGGTAATCTCTAGATCTACTAAATTTTTATCCCAGAAATCATCCCTTAAGGGGGTGAAAATTGGGATGAAAGTTTGTATGGAGAATCAAACGAGGGATATACCCGAAGGGACGAACCCGATCGAAGCAAAGGTGAGTCGC